CAGCAGGATAGGTTGGACTGACATGCTGGAGAGGTGAAGCAGTTTTCTTCCTTCATTCCTCGGCCACTTTGTTCCTTTTCCTTCTGCCTGAGAGAAAGTCCTGCAGAGCCTGCTGTGTTGCTCTAATGCCCTCTTCCCAGCTGCTGGGATCTAGTAGGCAAAAGAGGACAGAGGGGGAAATGGAGAAGACTGGTAGCTGATTCTGCTTTGCTAGCAGGGAAGTCAAAACACAGTCATGCCTTCAGTGAAGAATATGCTTAGGGTGCTAGGAGGTTTACCAGTCTAAGTATAATCAATATTGTGAATAGGGCTTTCTGTTAGTTAATGCCCCTTCCAAAAAGCGTTTGGAAGCAGTTTAAAATAGCAAGATTACTTTGGCTTTAGAATTCTTTTGCTCATTTCATTCTCCCCTCCCTTCCTCTTATGATTTAGTATTCCATAATAGGTTTGTTATTTCCCTTTTTATGATATTTAAAGACCTGCATAATAGGGGAATTGACTAAACAAAAAGGGTTGTCAAGTACATCAAGCTGAACTGCAAATAGGAAAAGAAATTCTCTACTCTGCTTTGGTTGCAATAACCGTTGTCGTAGCTTACAACAGCAGCATACAGGAGATTTCAACAAATCCATGTCCCTCTAGAAACAAACTTTGAAAGAGAAACCAGATAACCAGTGACTGTTTTGGGAGATGTGCCTGCCACAGAGCTCTGCTGCAGCGCAGGAAGTAAGGTAGCGTGTGTCAGTATGTGTCAGTTTTCAGCTCTTGTTGGTTTGCCGAGGGGAGATTCATACCCTCGTTCAGGCTTTGTGTTGTGGCGAGCCTTTGTGGGTGTTGCAGTGTTGTTGCTATTATGCACTGTGGCACATTAAGACTGATTTAGGAAAAGAAGTGTCCTCTTCATCTTTCTGGGGAAGTATTTTAAATCCTCGTTTGGATTTTGGCGGTCTTTTTGGACAAAAGGTGCTCTTCTCATTGAAGTGCTGGGAATAATGGTTATCAAGCAGGAAAAAACCCACCTAGCTATTAGGGGATGAATACCAAGAAGGAATTGCTTTTGTTCTTGTGAACCTTGCTGACAGAATGCATGTTGGACGGTGCCTTAATGAAATGGAAGGGAGCAGCAATGATTGCCACTGTAAAAACCCAGATTGTTTTTCTTTAGAATTGCAAACGAGACTTGCAGAGATAGCGCATTGTGTTTTAAATATATTGCTGTATTCTATTACAGCTATTTTCAGAAGGTGCCAGCAGAGGCTCCCCAGCTGGAACTGAAAGCAAACTATGGCTTAGTAGAGCCTGTTCCTTTTGAATTTCCTGCCTTGAACGCACACTGGACTCCTGAAACACTTGCAGCGTTTGATCTCACCAAGAGGCCAAAGGATGACACTGTAAGATAATCTTATGTACTGTTCTTTCCTGGTAGCTTTATTCTGTGTATAATGCAGAATTGCTGTTTTGCTCTTCTGTAATGCTCCCCAGCTCAGTGCAGGACGTAGACACGAGGCTACCACCTGAGCTCATATTTGCACTGTGCAAGGAGGCAAGTCAGTTAACCTCTCTGCCACACTGTCAGCATCTGGAAATTAGCAGTAATTTTTTTTCTAAGTCCTGAATAGTAGGAAATTCTTTAATGTGTATAACATGCTGAAATGCTATAGGAAGATTCTTTTTTAGAAAAGGATTCATTTAAGGATGCTGAAATAGAGAATCTTTGGCTTCCCCCCTTGCTTGAGTCTCACTCAAAGCCTTCAACCTTGAAAAGAGAGGGGACTGTTAGATTAGAATGTGTAAAGTTAGCCGTGCATAAATACCGTGCGGACACAGTGGTTTGTACTTGTGGTATTTAATTTTTTTTCTTTCTTGTTCACAGGCTAAACCAAAACCAGATGAAGAAGTAAAACCTCTGAAGGAACCAGATATAAAGCCTCAAAAAGACAGTGGATGCCAGATTTCTTAAGTGCCACAAGTGCTTTGAATTCACTTTAAAACTGTATTAATTGGACTCTGGGGCTTTAGTTCTGATCTCCCTTTTTCTGATTCTTCTTTTTTAATTTAGAAGACTAATTTAATTTACTTTTGTTAATATGCGTCTATCTTGCTTGAGAATGTGGTGGATTTCTCGGAGTTTATTTATATCTGACTTATTTTTGGGTTTAGTGGGATATCGTAGAATGAGTGGGCTTAAATGTTCCTATTGTGCCTCTAGAGAGTTTCTTTTTGTGGGTTTAGTTTCTACCCACAAATAGCAAAGGAAGTATCATGATTGTAACACTTGAGGATTTTTCCATTAAATTACATGCTATATAATGTCAAATTCTGCAAACAAAAGTTTGCATGAATGGTTATATTTATTCAGGTTTTGTCATTCAGGCTTAATGCCCTGTCGTGTTCTGATTCACTGAATTGTAGTGAGTGCAGAAAATCTGGGTTTGGTTTGTAACACCCCTGTGGTGTTTCACAGGACTTTCACAGAACTTGGAAAACCTTAAGTTCTGTGTAACTGGAGCACAGTTTATGTTCTTCTGAAACGATTAGCCTCTGTTCTTTCCTCTATAGATTTAGGGTTCTTGTATGAGAATTTGTAGTAAGGTACTTTAGCTTGTCTGTCCTTAAATTAAAATCCTTTAATATCAAAGTGTATGTGAAAGTGATGCAGCAAGTAATATGAAAGTGCTTAGAAGTAATGCATCACTGTGTCATTCATTCAAAGTTTTTGAATCTTGAAAGATTTAGTAAGTTTGAAAGCTGCAGACAGTTAAAATCTCCTGGCACTAGAAAAGCTCCATTTGAATTCGTGAAGTTGTCATGCATAAGGTAATGGAATTGTAACCGAGATGCTGTGTTTCCATCTGGGTAGTGTCTATAAGAAGCTGTTAGGAGAAAAGGGAGGAGAGATGAGCTGGAGAGCTGATGGCACAACTGGGAAACCAAGCTCTAGATTTCCTTTATGCCATATGTACACAGTGCTGTTTCTCAGCTTTTGCAGTATTGCACTGAAATTAGCTCTTAATGAAGAGAACTTGCCAAAAGCCAAGCCCAGTCAAGGCTGAGAAAGAAGGTATTTTGTAGAACTTCCTTCTTCCATTTCTGCCTACTGTGGAAAATGTGATAACATTCTTTAGTGCTGAGCACTCCAAAACACCCGTGTCAACAAAAACATAGCTTTCTGATTTGCTGCAAATGCAAAAGAATACGGTGCGTGCGTTGAAGCGAGGGCCTTGCAATCTCTGGGTACCAGTTGTTGCATTTCCCTTTACCTGAGAAAGAAACTGAACAGCCTGAAAATGTTCCCATTTCAACAAAACCTGACGGCATATGCACTTATCATGATGTATACTATAAACACATTCCTCACTTCGTACTGTTTTGATCGGTTCATCTTCCGCTGTGGTGTAATTTAGTACTTATGTTTGAAATCTTTCATGGGACTTAGAGTAACTTAGCCTAGAGGGCAGGTGTGTAGCTTCTTGAAGACCTGTGGAACAAAAGCTGTTGAGGAAGTTAATGGGAGACTCGAGACTCTTCCTGAGATACTGGACCAAACTACAGAATCCATTGCTGCAAAAGGCAAAGAGGATCTTAATGTTGGCTGTCGTGGGTGAATCAAATGCAGAACTCATTGCTTCCAGTGATGGATTTTTCTTTCAGCCAGTTCTGCACACAGAAGTAAGTGTAAAATCAGCTGAATTGCTTTGGAAGAAGTTTCTGTTCTGCAAGGGCTTAGGTGGGTAGAGGATAATAAGTATCAAGGAGAATTTATATCTAAAAATGCTCCATTTCTTCTGATACTGCACAGGGGCCTGGGGTGTGTTTTCTGAAGACTTACTCAGATCTGTTCATAACTTGATCAGCTGACTTTTTAGACTTCTTGCATTATTAAAAGACCGGCTTAGGTTTTGCCAGAATGGGGCGTGGAGCTACTTTGCCTATGCAGATTTTCATTCTCCTGAAAACTTACTACAGCTGTAGCCTTCCCCCTTTAAGGATCAAGATGCAGTTAACTCCGTTTCATAATCATGATTTTTTTAGTTACTCATTGTTTTCCAGGTGTCTCCGTGTGTTAATAGGTACACCTCTCAACCTAATTAATTTTCTTTCTGTGCAGACTAGATTCCATTTTCCCTCCTCCCCTCATTTTCCCTTCCATGTGCTACACGCTGTGGCACAGACTTACCCGTGTTTGCTAATGCATGTGTAGGTGCTGAGACTCATTTCCAGTGAGGCTTTTGCCCATGGGTGTATTTCAGTATATGAATAGCTTAAAATAAAATGAACAGATCATGACTAAATCATTCCCAAACAACTTGTTAGGAAAGATTATTTTATGGACTTGCAATTCGTAATCCTTTGGATGCTTTCTTAAACCAAGTGGTTTGTTTGAATCAAGTTCACTGTAAATAGTTTGGGGCCTAACCAAGTGGATTGTGTCAGATTATGGCATTACTTAAGCCTAGCTGTGTAACCTCTTACGCCATAGCTGTTTCAGTAAATATGATGTAGTAGTTTAAAAATAGACTAATGGAACAAACTAATTCCCTTAACATGTTGCTTTTCAAGACAAACTTTGTTTACTTATAGTTAAAATTCCATGGCAAACATTGGATAGTTTTGCCCAAAAATAAGAAACTGGAGACTGTTTAGTTTGCAAAGTATAGAGAGCTGTGAGTCAACGAGCAGTTTTCTCTTTGGTTTTGTTGGGTAGAAGCAAGAATTATTGTAAATAATATGTAGATTAACTGTCCAATATGCTTAAGAATATGGGTGAATTGACTGGGACTTTCAGTTAATCTGGAAACCTAGCAGCCATGTTCCTTCTATTATGTTTTCCTTTAGTAATTTTTAAGAATGAGGTATTTTGAATGGTGACTTTTTAATACTCTAATGCTGCAAGAGCCTGTTTTTGTGGCCTCTCTCTGGTTTTAGAGGCTCTCATGGCTAAACCTGCAAATCTTGTTGGTGTAAATAGTCTTTAAAAATTTGTGCCCAGTCTGAACTAGGACAAAACTGCAGCTAAATAAAATATGGAGTGCTGGGCCCTCTATTTTGTGCTTTTAAAAATGCAGTGATTGTCTTTAATCTACTATAAAACAAACCATTAAGCTCTTTGTAAGATTTCCATTTAAATACCTTCCTCCATGTATTTAAATACACTTCCTCCATGTTTCGTGTTCCTGGGTTTACAGTAGTTACTCTCCATCCAGCACGTGACACTCCTGGAACGGAGGGACTAGATTTGGCCCTCGGATGCTGATGTTTGCCTCCCACTGGATTTGGTAGAGGAGTTTTGCCTGTCAGCCTAAGGATGACATTTGGTCACTTAAATGTTCAGCATGAATATGTGGTGCGTCTGTAATGATGGTATTGGTTCATAGTATAAGGAAGAAAACAGATCCCTGTATCTGTGTAGAATATAGCCAACTTTGCACTTTAGAAATTTCCGATCTTGCCGTTTCGGTACAATACAATGTGGTTGTAAATACTCCTTCCTGTCCTTCTAATCTTGTTGCACTGAGTTCACTACTGTGCTATTGGTAAGATTTTTATGGGAAACATTGCTAAAATGTATTTTTAATTGTCCGTGTATAAAATAAACTCACAAAGCATATCTCTACCTTTAGTATTGGGGGAACATGAGAGGAGGCAGTAATTCATCTGCTTTCCATGTCAATTCAGAGAAATGAAAAGTTTCTGTCTGTTGGCTGTGGGATGATACGTTTCATCCCATCCGTGCACCTAGTATCTAAACTGAAGTTTCAGCATTAACAGAAATCCTGGGGGGTTTGTTTGTTTTCTTTTTTTTTTTCCCCTAACTGGCCCAGTTGAGTGAGGCATAAAGCACAGCGAGTATGACTGGCATGGAAAATCCCCTGTAGCGGGTACCTGTCTCCAGATTTTGAGTGCGGCATAATGACGTTTGCGCAACAGCCATTGGATTCACTCATATCTTTCCCTGCTGGTGATGCTCTCAAATTCAACAAACGTCACATGGTCACTGAGGGGGCCCTTGGTCAGCTTTTTATGTAGGAAGGCCTGCTTCCTTTGGTGTTGGTGCCTTCATGGATCACAACCTTCTTGAAGCCATCCTGTACTCTGAATAATCAAACCTCAGTGGAATCAGCTCTGATGAGACTGACCGAGCAGCCTTATTTTGCGAAGACGGTCACCATGCGATCTTAAGCTTCATAGTTTGAAAATTTGTATGTAACCACAAGTTTCAGAATACCATTTAAAATAAACAATCTTAATGTATCAGGTTTTGCTTCGTCATTTAAAATTTTAAGTATAGCAGCAAGAAAGAGTCTATCTTGAATGTTACTTTCTCCAATTTAAAACAAATATATTAGAGAATACATTAGCCTTGCAGTATACCCAAGGGAGAACTTAAATGAGCAAGATAGTTATGTGAATTGGGTGCATATGGAAGTGGTAGCTACAACGAAGCACTTCAAGTCATGGGGCAGGAGGAGAGGAGGTGGAATTTCCAAACTTACGTTAAAAAAAAAAAAAAAAGTAATTAGGTATGATTTCATATGCCTATACAAAATCCTAGTGCTTGCAAAGGTCTGTGACATGGGATGTTCCATCTACTACATGAAGGGGTTATTCGGGCAGTGCAGATTGCTGGCCACGTCTCTACATCGCCAGCAGGTGGCAAGTAGATTTGTAGGAAACATCGGTTTTCATTTTCAGAGGCATGGTTGGCTCTTTGAATTTTTAATGTAAATACACACTAAAACCTTTTAGCCTTTCAGGCTTTAGCACAGTTTCTAGAAGAAAAAAAAATAGTCTCTGTTGGACTCTGATGTCTGTCTTTGAAATAAATCTTTTTCCCTCCACAAGGTACTTTGAAAAAACCTACGGAAAAGGCATTTTCATTCATGCATGTTGTGATTTCAGTAAAAGTATCGATAACTGATTCTATAATATTTTTCCTCCCTCCTAGTGATTTAAAGGTTTTCAATTTCTATGTAGTCCTTAGACAATAAGAATTGTTTGGCTGTCTAAAACTATCTTCTACTTAATTTCGATAATATCAAATAACGTTATAGGGATGCAACGACTGGGCTGTTTTGAGCATAGCACTGGGAATTTGCCAATGTCCTGGATATCAACTTTAAGACAAACTTTCCTCCCCAATTTAGAAACTAAAATTTTTCTACTTTACCTTTTTGGGTTTGTTTTTTGTGTTTTTTGTTTTGTTTTGTTTTTTGTCTGACATCAGATTCCTCCGTTCAACCAGGGAGCCAACCAAACAGGTCATTATATTTTGAGAGTGTTCATAATTTTAGCATGTAGCTGCTGGACTGGATTTTTGTTTTCCTTTCCTCCGTAAAGAAAGTAATCTCTTCAGCAGCAGTCTCTGCTGAAACGGATTAACTCTGAAACGGATTGCCAAGTGAAAGTTGCTGGTTTGTGTTGGGAACTCCTGAAGACCCACAATTTCCCTTGTGCTGGTTTGAAAACAGCTGATGAGTTACTTGGAACACTTTTCAGACTTCAGAAAGCTGAGCAACTCCTTGCCTGT